ATTCGAATCCTAGCTTAACCCCTTTGGTCCGGTTTAGTGATCGTATTCGAATCAGAAACCTCAAATTCTTCTTTCTATTTTGCTTAATTTTTTTGAAAACAGTCTTTTGGGTTTGTCTTGAGACTTTTTGTTCATATCTGAAGCATATATGTGGTTTCGATTAACCCGACTTGACTTTGGATGATAAGTTGCCATATATGACAATCATAAACATTTGGAAGTTTTTGGCTTCTAAAGATTGGGTTATCACCCTTACTGCACAGGTATCCTAAACCGGCAGCATGATTCAATATCACAGGAACCGGTTTTTCAAACCGGGTTATATTATTCAAATCTTTAATAGCCAACATGGCTGGATTTTATTATGGTTATCAATAACCAATATTACGATTGGGGTTTTCAAAGTCGCTTCAGCGCAATGGATATTATTTTATCAATGGACATAATTTATTCTACAATGGAAGGAATAGTCCCGAGTCGCTGCAGGCTTACGACCCGGCACTTGGGGGCTACATTATTCAAGTTAAGATTACATCAAATATGCAAGTCCCATGTCACTGCCAGCATGCACCATGGCACTTGGGGGCTAATGCAAAGTCATTTTTACTGACCTTATTGAAGACCCAACTCATCACATTGTAATGAGCCGGCCCTTGGGGGCTACCAATTGCTCCTGTCAACAATTCAAGGTACACAAGTCTTAAATTCATTATATTGAGAGGTCCACTACTCAGTTGGAAGAGTACAAAGCTCTTAACCTTATGGACGTGGGTTCGAGCCCCATGGAGAGGATTACAACATATGATATTCTTTTCAAGGAAATATATATAAAATCCCAGCTCAATATTATCTTACTGAGCCGACCCTTGGGGGCTACATGTCACTGCTCAAGTCTACATCTACAAAGTCTCTGCTCATTATTGCATAATGACCCGGCCCTTGGAGGCTACACCGGTTGAAGCTTTTGTGAGCATAAGACAATTACAAGTCCCAGGTTGATGCAAGCATGACAACCCGACACTTGGGGGCTACAGGTAACACGGATATAAGGAGAAATACTTTCGAATTTTCAGTTTTGAGCAAATCAGATTGACCTGGCGTCACCAATTATTATGACCTAGTGTCTGCAACAATCATAGCCCGGCGTCATCAATAATTATGACCCGGCGTCGACAACAATTATGACTCGGTGCCATCAATATTTACAAACCGACAATTTTGGTAATATTAAACCGACAAGTTCTACATCTTCAAACCAGCTGAATATCAGATGAGTATTTCAAGACCAATATTTCTTAAGTCGGCGCTTTGGAAGCCGGCTCAAGTGGATTATTCTTCACAATATTTCTCTGCAAGAGATCAATGTCAGCAAATTAACTCTGAAGCTGGCCTATTGACCCGGACTTTTCAAAAGAAGTATCTGGATTTTTTGCATTGACAAAGTTGAAACATATCTGCTAAAGAAGATTTGCTATGAGATCATGGACTCGTGCATATCAACAAGGAAATGACAAGGACTTAACGATGATCAAATGTCGGCTCAGAAGAACCTTTGACCCGACATATAATCTATCAAAGTTGGTCTTGATTTGCAGGATCAATTTAACATGGATAAATCCAGATTAAACTGGGGGCTAATGTCGGGGATATACCCTGCGGTATAACCCGGCCGGACTTGGCGGCTCACAGAGACCCGGCGAGTATTTGGTGACTTACTGATGACCCCAACAGCGGGTCAGATGGATGACAAGGCCCAAGGCCCAGAAGGCTGGTTCATGTGATGGTGGGCCGGCTTAAGAGGAAGACATAAGGAATATTCTCCTGCAAAGGAAGCAAGACTAGGACTCCACCTGTAATAGAGTAATCCTAATCCTACTAGGACTAGTCATGTAACCCGCCCCTTCAACTTATATAAGGAGGGGCAGGGCTCCCCAAAAGGGGGACAAGCAACAAGAAACAATCTCTAGGGCTAGACACAAAGGGGGAGCCGACTTATGCGGCGCCTCTCTCATGAGAATAATGAGATCTAGCCACAAACAGCATGTAGGGCTATTACTGGATGATGTTTCCCGGGGCCTGAAGTTGTCTAAATCTTTGTCTTGTGTTGCGTCTCTCGATTCCGCTCAACCCCTCTCAAGCTACTACAAAGATCTGTTGGCCTCACGACTAAGTCCTCACACTAGGACATCTGCCGTGACAATTCCACGACACTTCCGCTTTCGGTCTACGAGGGTACGTAGACACACTCTCCCCTCTCGTTGCTATGCATCTCCTAGATAGATCTTGCGTGATCGTAGGAATGTTTTTGAGATATTGCGTTCCCCAACAGTAGTAACAACTAAAGTGGTACGATCATATGATAAGCTTACGGTTGGGTCTTGTCCATCACATCATTCTTCTAATGATGTGATCCCGTTATCAAATGACAACTCATGTCCATGGTTAGGAAACCTTAACCATCTTTGATCAACGAGCTAGTCTAGTAGAGACTTACTCAGGACACATTGCAGTTTGTGTATTCACACATATATTTAAGTTTACGATCAATACAATTCTAGCATGAATAATAATCATTTATCATGAACGAGAAATATGATAATAACCATTTTGTTATTGCCTCTAGGGCATATTTCCAACATATTTTTCTTGTCATAAGCTTGTCTATCCATCACCCATCCATGGTTTTTCTCATGAAACATGTTCCACGGTTTTGTCAGGCACCTCTGCAGAATGACATGCCAAGGATCATCAACCACTCAACCACTCTACAGTCAATACCTCCATGTAAAATAATATAGAATTGAGTTACCACTACAAATCCAGTATCATTACTACATTCAGTTATCACTACTAACTTATGATAACACTACTAAATTCAGTTATCACTACAAAATTCGGTTATCAGTACTAAATTCAGTTATCACTACAAAATCCAGTTTACACCACTAGCATTCAGTTAACACCTTAACATAAACCTACCACCTACAAGATTCAATCCAAACCAAATACAGTTAACTATAAGAAATCAACCTACAGGATGCAGTCAAAAGACAAAATTTACTTATCTAGTTTGAACAAACCTACAAGATCATGTAAAAAATAAGTCAAATAGCTATTGAACACCAAAATTCTGTTAACTAGTTAACATCAGGCTACCTACAAAATTCACACAGAACAAATTCAGTTAATCTACAAGATTCGGTTAAATACTTAACAACATAGCTCATTTAGTTGCAGAGTAGGTCCAGTTACAGAACAAATTTAGTTTAGGCCATGAAAAATTACCTGCTTACCACAACCATATAATCTTCTACCTGTGTTTATGCCATCGAATGCAACAAATTTCTTGGCCCTAAAGTGATGAAGCTTGCATTTCATGTCCGAATCAGTCACATACCCATAGAAGGAAGAATCAATAGTGGTGTCTGGATTTGCTTGCATTGACAAGAAGCATTAGCCACAGAGGAGAGGCAGAGAAAGGAAGATCTCAAACCCTAACCCTATTCCTAACCAAAACTAGTAGAGAATACATACCCACAAATCCATGTCCATGCGGGTGTAGGTCTACTCCTCCTCCTCCTCCTAGCTACTCTCCCCCAGATCTCTCCAAGAAGCCATTTCTGCCCGGCGACGAGGGTGA